GTGGTTCGCGGTTGGAGGGTGGATTGTGGGGAGGGAGGGTGGATAGGTAGGAGAAAAGTCGGTCGCCGCCACAACTTTCTCCGTACTTCAGCGGATTATATGCAATCATTTCTGTTTCTGTGTGAACGTCGTGTGACTGTATGGTTCTTATCGCTCAGCCACTGCTGCTTTTCTTTTGTTGTGTGCGGGTTTATCATGCACGATAATCGTTGACATGATCGTCTGAATTGCGTCCACGGCCTCTATTGTCATGCTCTTGTTATTGCTCATCGCCATGTCGTCCACAACTTCTGTTCATTTTGAACACCATAGATAAAGGAGAAAAAAATAATAATAAAAAAAAAAAAATGCACGAACCCATCGAAAAAATTACTAGAGGGTTCTCAACCATTTGCCAAAATGTGAACCCATTACGAGAAAAGTGTTTGTTGATTACATTTCGTTCAATGCACGTGGTGGTCATTAGTTGAACATCAAATCTTCACCAACAGCATCAACCGAACGTCGAGTACTGCAGACAACATGCATCACAGACGCTACATGTGGTGGACAGAAAACACGTGTCATGAAAAGACGGACAGCAGCTCGACGCACGACGGCGACCTCACACAAATAAATGAAAAAATACAAATATCTTATAATTTGAAGCAACACCGCGATCCAAAGCACATGCGAAACAGAGGGGTGTCGACCTGCTCCGCGCCGCCACCCGACAAGCTCCGAAAAACCCCTCTCCCCTCTCTCCCCCCCTTCCCTTTTTCCCATCCCCATGCCCACGGATTTGCGCGGGAACACCGCCGCGGCAAGGAAGACATCAATGAACAACGAAAAAAATAACAGCGACGTCACTGCCGATCACCTACGACAATTGAGCCGCTTCACTGTCGATCACCCACGACGAGGAGAAGCACACTACCGTCGACTACAACAACAAACACCTACAAACGAGTCGTCCGCCGCTGCAAACCCTGCGAGATAACTCTGCGCGTATTCGCGAATGACGCAAGCGCTGCGACTCGACGAYGGACGCACACGGCTTCTGTCTATGCACGCGAGGCGGAGTGGCGCAACACGCACGATCAAATGTGTTTCATCCGCTCCGCAAGGGCATTGCGGAGCGCGTGTGCGGCGTCCGTCGATGTCAGCATCGTCACTGGCTGCGGTGGACGATGAATCCCCARGTCCACTCGCCGCCTCACCCCGTTCTCGTCGACCTCCCACAACAAGTTCTCGTCGAACTCGATCCCAGCATCGAGCAGGATGTTGTGGAGAATGCAGAAGGCCGTGAACTGCTGCGGTAGAGTGTCCAAGTTCGTCTTGTGTGACCGCAGGAAGAGCCTCCACATCCCCTTCAACCTCCCGAACGCCCTCTCCACAGCACCTCTAGCGACCTTCTGTTTGTTGTCGAACCTTTCCTCGTCCGGGTGCTGATTGATTCCTCCGTACGGCACCACTATCCATTCCGAAGGAGGATACCCGTTGTCGCCCAAGATGTATCCGTTCGTCCTCACCCCTCCCGACAGCGTCACAGGCGGCCCGTGAAAAAACGTTCCCTCTTCCGCGCGCCTCGACAGACTTGACAGCTGAATCACCCGAATGTCGTGGCAGCTGCCCGGGTAGCCAACGAAGATGTTAAGCACACGCAGATCCAGGTCCACCACCACCTGCGCAATGACGGAGAAACGGTGCTTGCGGTCGAAGTAGTTCTCGCTCGGAGCGTTCGCCGGTTTGTCCACGTAGATGTGTGTGCAGTCAACTGCGCCATGGCAGTTGGGAAAGCCCTTGTCTTGAAACGCMCGTAGCACCACGTGTTTACGCACCCCTGTCGGCCACGATATCTTGTCCCCGTAGACCCGCAGCAACGCGGCTGTCACATCGCGCACGGCTCGAACTCCGGATGCTCTGCCAATGYCRAACRATGATGTGKTGTTGTCGTAYGACTCTCCTGTTGCCCACCTATACAGCGCGTACGCGAYGATCTGATCCGGCTGAAGCGGCTCCCTGTAGAACGTGACCTGTCGTTGCAAATGAGGCGCACAGGCTTYGGTGATCTCCATGAACMYTCTCCTCGACATGYGGARCTTTTCCCGGAAGTAGTCATCCGTCGCGTCGTCGCACACCCGCAAATCCTCCCAAGTCCCGCCAGTTCTCCGCCTCATCCACCAACGTGGCGTCGCCCTGGGAAGCACACCGGAACCGATTGCAGCGCACAGCTGAACCACGGCCTCCGAAGTCRTGATGYAGTSYGGGGCGTCCAACACCSTCTRCAGCAGAAGCCTGTGTCRCCGCCTGGAAAGCRCTGCCTTCATGCGGCCCGCYGCCCTCTCYGCTTCGTATCGACGGACTACGGCAACGGCTGCCGCCGCGACAGCTGTCCTCTCCGTCGGCGACAGCACAGCACGCCCACCCCCATCACATCCCTCCATTCGCGCACGTCCACGAGGAAGAGCAACGTCCACCGCCACCCACCTGCGCGAATCAACGTCCACGGCGACGATCGAAGACGCCTACAACGAGGTGTGGAAGACAGGCGTAATGACAAAACGTACACCGCGATGGGAGCGTTCGTCCTCTGTCCCTGAACCACGGAAGCGCCGCCCGCATGCACGTGGCGAGCGCAGGAGAGGAAACAGACGATTCGTTTTGCCCGCGACGAACACACTGCACACGGTGGCGGCGCGGTGTCGCTGAAGTACGAAACGCGACGTCAAGCCTGCGCGCTCGTCCCCCAGTCGACGTGTCCTTCCGCCTGTGAGACGCCACACGGTCGTTCCGCGCGGAGAAATTTCGAATTTCAAAATTCGAACGGGGCCGTTCCCGCGTTCGCATTTTTTTTTTTTCCACGGCCCGTGACGTTTTGCTGTCGTCCGGCTGGTGGACCAGCGCGCCTCGCACACGGACATCCCGAATCGGATGTCGGACAACACCATCGCGGCCGTCTATAAAACTCATGAAACTGGCCGCGGGACGGCCTCGAGGACGCATCCTCAGGGCTACTCTCCGAGGACAGGTGGAACGACGCCTACAAAAATAAAAAAAAACTCCGAGGATTCGTCCTCGGAGCTCGAGGACGCTCCGAGGAGTGTCGAACGATGCCCTAAGTCTGGCAGGTAACAACATAGGAGACCCCTTTACAGCTCCTCAGCATAGTTTAACTATTGCCCCTATCCAGCTGACCATAGTTTGACTATTGGCCCTATACAGCTGACCAACCGACCATAACTGTGGTAGGAAGGTCGTGGCACTGGGAAAGTCTTTTTATAAGCAGGAGGAATAAGTAAATCTTCCAGACATAAAGCCCTTAAACCACAAGTAGACGGCCCCAGCCTTGCAGTCCGAAACTCGTCGCCACAAGAAAGCGAGGCCGAAAAGTCAAACGCTGGGCCCGCCGTTGATAAATTCAATCGGCGGCTGCGTTTTCGTTTCGCGCCTCCAGAATTTGAGGTGTCAGACCCGCGGCCCAGGTGCCCACGTATTGGTGCTTTAATGCTTTAAAATTAAAAAATCCAAAAAAATACATTACCTAGTACAATAGATGTGAACAGATTTGTTACTATCCTTCTTCAAAAGCCCTTACTGCTTTAAATCGAAAAATTTTAAAAATACATTACCTAGTACAGCAGATGTGAACAACTTTGTTACTGATTCTTCTTCCAAAGCGCTTAATGCTTCAAATCCAAACAATACATTATTACATTACCTAGATCAATAGATGTGAACAAATTTGTTAATGCTTTAAATCCAAAAACAATACATTACCTAATACCTAGTACAATATAGTAATATACGTGAACAAATTTGTCACTGATCCCTTCTTCAAAAGCCCTTGATGCTTTAAATCCAAAAAAATACATTACTTAGGCCAATACATGTGAACAAATTTGTTAAATACATCGAAGGGATCAGCATCTTAGGGGCTCGTTCGACACTCCTCGGGCGCGTACATCCCCCGAGGAATTCATCGTTGCACTTATCCTCGAAGAAAAAATTGGAAAAAAAATGTGAAAACAGTTCCTCGGGGATTCCTCGAGCTACAGCCATTTCCACGCGTTCCCCAAGGGACCTCCCGAGGTCCCTCGGAGGTCGAGCATCCGGAAGAATCAAGGTGTCGACGGCAGCTCTCTCGACGACATTTTTCGAACTCAGCTGGTCCATTGCTGTTCCTGGCGGCCCGTCGACGGACATCTTCGGTCGGCAACATTCAGCATCATGGCATTGTCTGCCAACGATCACCGTTGGCGGCCTGCCGGCCTCCACGACGTCGAAAAGGGGCTGTCTTGCGTCAGTGCCCTTGGCCCCGAGCGGGAAGGCGTCCAATGGTCCGCAGATTCGAATACTTCATGTGGCCCCCGCTCTCCTGATTGCGCAGTGTCTTCCGCTACGGAATACGCTACCCTCTGTTTCTGGCTATCTACGATCGGCCGTTTGCAGCACTGTTCCTCGCCGTTTCCTGGATGTCCACGGGGTAGTTGCTGGTGAGGAGGGGAGAGATGGAAGACGGGCGAGATGGTAGAGGGGGGAGTGGGGTTCGTGGTATGCTTGGTTCGGGTAGGGGGGGGGGGGGGGGGGGGGGGGGGGGGGGGGGGGGGGGGGGGGAGAGAGGATGGGTCTTCGGTAGAAAAATCGAGGTAATAATCAAAGATGTGGTTTTGAGGAACTTGTTGACTTCTTTGCTCCTCTTGATGACCTCTCTTTTAGCAGCTGATATGGGAAACGGGTGTGTCGGGGGGTGCTTGGTTGGGGGGGGGGGGGGGGGGAGGGGGGGGGTCGTTCCGGGGGGGTGATCGGTCATGGGAGGGTACGTTCTCGTGTTGCGGGTCGTTGCTGTGGTGGCTCTGTTGTCGTAGGGGTGTTTCATGAACCTTGCCTTATTTTTTGTTTTTGTTTCGGAAATGGATAATCTAAGTTGTAATTTGTTAAAGCGAACATCTAATTGTTCAATGTTATTCATGAAGTCTACAGCTTTGTGGTGCTTGCTTTTTTTCCTTTAAATTTCTATATGTTATGGTAAGGGGGATGGAAAGGGGTAAGGGCTGCTTTCTTGAACCGATGGATGATCACAAAGTGAGGGATGTTCATAGCAAGCTTTGGGAACTCGATACAAATAATGACGACATCGCAAATGTAAGGAGAATTGAAGGCAATAGAAATGACACACACAACGTCGTGCGAATATTGTCGTTTCAATCCACGTCAAATAAGAGGACAAGCCACGCAACAGAAATAAGTGACATGAAATTTTGTTAAATTGTTGTCACTCGCAATAAAAGCAGAAGAAGACACACTTTGGAAAAAAATGTAGCGTTCATTGCAACTTCAATCCCAACTTCGGAAAAACAGAACACACACCGCCGGATTCGACTCCGTCACCCAGACACATCACCCGCAGTGACAGCATACTACATTAGAACTACGATCGCCACGTGCATGCGCATGACGTCGCCCTCGCCAACGACGCTTTCGACTGCGCTATCGCCATCCACCCGCGCCGCCGACACTCTCCTCATGGCCGCGCATTTCGAAAGAACACCAAACTAAACTGCCCACACATGGCGCCTCATGCACGCCAACCCACAACGAAACAGCCACCGCACCATGAGCTCCCAGTTCCACAAAACAGGGCGACACACACAACGACGCCAACGTAGATGACCACCCCTTCAAGGAGACAACGCCTCCCGTCGTGGACAGAACAGAACCCAACGCCACCAGATCGGAGGCCAGCAACATCGTGACGACACGCTACCGCCAGTGGAAGGGGGAATTACCCACCGCTTCATGCACGACACACAAACTCTTCGCCTGCTCCCCGCGTCGTCTGCTCTGATTTCTCGCCGCAACCACGTCATCGCACTTGTCCGCTCCGCACGCCTGCTCGTCTTTACTGCGCACCCATTTGCTCCGCTAGTGCGGCCCGCAGAATCAGCGCATCCCCCGTCGACGACTCCATACACATCGGCCTCAAGGGCCGCTGCATCCCAAGATCCACCCTGCGACGCACACCGTCCAGCCCGACCTCCCACAATAGATTGTCGTCGAAGGGGATGCCCTTATCGATGAGTATGTTGTGCAAAATGCACACGGCGACGCACTGCTGTGGCAACGTGTCCATGCTCGTCTTGTGGGAGCGACGGAACAACCTCCACATCCCCTTCAGTCTCCCGAAAGCTTTCTCAACTGCTCCCCTCACCGTCTTCTGCTTGTTGTCGAAACACAACTCCAACGGGTGCTGTGCGAGACCGCCATAGGGGACGACTACCCATTCGGAAGGGGGATAACCGTTGTCGCCCAGCAAATACCCATTCGTCTGCACACCGAAAGACAGCATGACAGGTGGCCCAGTGAAAAACTCCCCTGCCTCCGCGCATGCCCATAAACTCAATAGGTGGACGATCCTCACGTCGTAGCAACTTCCCGGATAACCGAGGAACAAGTCCAGCACGCGCAAGTTCAGATCGACGACCACCTGCGCTTGGACGGAGAAACGGTGTTTTCTATCGTAGTTGTCCTCCCCGGGGCAATTCATTGGCTTGTCGATGAAGATGTAGGTGCAATCGATGCACCCATGGCAGTTAGGGAAACCCTTGTCGGCGAAAGCGTGCAAGACGACCGCCTTCTGCAGCCCCGTCAGCCACGATATCTTGTCGGGGTACGCACTCAGCAACGCCTCGGTTACATCCCGCACAGCCACCAACCCAGAAGATTTGCCAATGTCGAAGCTGCATGTCCCGCTCCCGTGCGTCTCCCCCGACGCCCACCTCTACAAAGCACAGAGCTTTCGCGATCTCTCGGAACACACGCGGCGACATGCGCAGCTTCTCCTTGAAGTAGTCGGTCGTCGCGTCGTCGCAGTAGTCGGTCGTCGCGTCGTCGCAGTAGTCGGTCGTCGCGTCGTCGCATTAGTCGGTCGTCGCGTCGCCGCAATGCCGCAGATCCTCCGACGCCCCCCCTGACCGTCGCTTCATCCACCACCTGGGCGTCGCTCTGGGAAAAACTCCACACCCCATGGCGTAGCACATATGGCGTCGCAAATGGCAGCAGTGTTGAAGCCGTCCACATTCATGGACTGCAGCGTCCTCTTCCGCCGTGTGCGAACCGCCGCTCTCATCCTCCCCTTGCTCCTCTCCATTTGACACCAAAAGAGGATGGCGTTCACGGTCGCTGCCACAACTGTCCTCTCCGCCGTCCTGAGTGTGCCACGGCCCGCCTCCCCGTTCTTGTCCATGGCCGAATCGGGTATTGTCAACATGGACGTCGCCAAGTACAGAAGACTCCACGAGCGTTAGGGCTCACTACAACGATGGTGCGAATGACGATCGGAGTGCACGGCGTAGACGTCGACGACGAAGGTGTGCCTGCGAAGGCGACAACGATGGCGATCGTGTGATGGCGTGTCTGCTGCTTTGGATGTGCACATGTACGTTCGGCATGCCCGACAATAAGCAACCCCCACCATGTACCCAAACGCTTCCGCTGAGGAACGTTGCTGCTGCCAACCACAAGGGACACCCACACCGCCGTCACTCACTTGCATAATTTCGAATTTCGAAATTCAAATCCGGGACTGCGCCTTTTCCAATGCCATATATTTTTTGAACGCCGCCGACTTTCGAATTTGTGATGCCCACCTGAGCTGGACCAACGACATCGGCACGGACACACCTCGCTAGACCAACGTCGCCCCCCCAGCAGCGTTTGCTTGTCGACATATGAAACTAGCCGCGGTGGCCCCCGAGGAATCGTCCTACGGAAACCATTCCGCGGATGCGTGGAACGACGACGCAAATTTTCTCGGGCGACGATGGGAATTTTTTCTCGGACCCCGAGGACGACCCGAGGAGTATCGAACGAGCCCCTTATGGTATATAGTATATACTGATTCTCTCTTCACCAGCAACAACTTTTGTAATCGTAGCATCTTTCTTTCTGTCGGAACCCCAAACTAGTTAATCCGTCAGTCCAAACAGAGGTCAATGGAGTAGTCGAGGATTTTCCAGCCACTGCAGCACCTGCTTCTTCAGGTGGAACGCCGCGAGTTTGTGGAGGTACACGAAATGCAGCTAAGAAGTCATGAGCATGTAAAGTTTTGAAGTTTTATACCCAGGAGTCAGGAGTATACTAGTACGTTAATCTGTAATCTTTTACCCCTGCGTTAAATTCAGTACTTGTTAAAGTTTCTGTCTATGGTGACCTATGTTACCGGAGTGGCCCAGGACCACTTGAGTGGCCGGGCCAAAAATGAATTACAAAAAAATATATCGTCACAATATATATATATATATATCGTCACATATATATATATATCGTCACAAACAGAACTGCCCGGTAAACCGTAGGCAGAGAGAGAGAAGAGGACAACAAACGAGGGGCTGTGACAAACTGTTTCGTCGGAGTTTCACCGACTCATCA